AAAGAGTATTAGGAAAATTAGGTACAATCAGGTACATAAAGTTCTGTGCTAAGCAGAATCCTAAGACAGATACTAAAACCTTTGCCCTGACACCACTCCCATGTTTATTTTACTGTATATGATGAATGGGAGATTATCTAGGTGTGCCTAAGCTAGACATGTCTGTAAAAAGCAACATATTTTCTATGGCTAAAAGGAGAAGAGGACATCCGAGAGATCAGAACAACAGAAAGGACTCTAAGTACAAGAACAAAGCGAAGCTGGCATCAAGGGTAGATGGAAGGGTCTGTATGTCAAGGAAAGGGTAGCTTCCTGAATTTGAGAGCAACCTTCTGCTGATAAACGTAAAGGAAACAGGAACTTTAGTTCTCCAACCACAAAGAATCAAATTCTATCAACAGCAGGAATGAACTTAGAAGCATATTCTTTTCCTGTAGTTCTGGGTCCCAGGACGGAGGGAATGAGCTTGGCCAACCAACACCCTTTCCTTCCTACTCAGCCAGACTTTCAACCTCCAGAATAAATAGGTGCTGAGTTAATGGATAGATGTTTCATTCTCCTACATTGGTGATTTGTTTTGTAGTAACAAAACCATTTTTTGTAGTAACTATTTCAGGTGCTTCTGATACTCTACACAAGACTTGTTGATAAGTTCTATTTCTATTAATAGCCTAAAAGCAAAAGCAAGTCATTTTGACTTTTCGGAGTTTTAGTTCTTTGATCTATAAAATAAAGTTTGCAAAGTTGCAAAGTAGCAATTTCTACTCTAAATTTTCCTAGGTTTAAGAATTCATTTTTTTAAAGACTTTTTCAACTTTTGTGACATATTCTCAAGTGGTTTCTTCTATTCACCCCTCTTAGGTAATTCTCTACCCTTCAGTGGACAGGGCTAGCCCTCAGGAGGCTGCCCGCACCAGTGAGCAACCTGGTTCTCAGCAGTGGGGTGACAGGAGGTGCAGCTGGAGAGCAGAGCAACAAGGAAGTATGAGCTCTGAATAGTTACTTCCTGACTTCTACAGTGTATTCAGTAGGCTAAAGGGGAAAGTGATCTCTCAGTTGGAGGTGTGTGGGTGTAGGGGAAAGAGATGTTACTGTCTAAAGACATATCCTATCCTTATCCCCTAATGTGACAATAGTGGATTTAAGGGTTGTTTTTAGGAGGTATAAAGTTCAATAAGGTCATAAGAAAAGGGTAGATAGATTTGTGACTAAGTAAGAAAAGGATAAGCGAATAATCTCTTTCTCAGTCTCTCTCTCTGTCTCTCTCTCTCCACACACACACACACACACACACACACACACAAAGAAAACCATGTGAGGATTCATGATATACAAAGTGGCTAAGTTGGGTGTGACCATTGCCTCATGTCAGTAATCCTAACTACTGAGGAGGAGGAGGCTGGTATCTGAGAACTGAGGTTCACAGCAAGCCAATGCAGATGAATATGCAAACATTTGTTTCCAACTGACCATCACACACACACACACACACACACACACACACACACACACACACACACACACACACACGGGGGAGGGGAGGGGGGGTTTGCTGAAATGGCCATGTGGGCCCTGTGGTTTATTAAGTGGTTTAAGCCTTGAATGAAAAAGCTAAGCAGAAGTATAAGGCTCTAAATTCAAGCCCCAATACCATCACACAAATCACTCTTCTCACACAGACACATACACAGGAAAGAAGGAAGGTGGCTGTTTACAAGGCAGAAAGAAGACCTTTATTAAAACTCAACTATTTAGTTTTTAGACTTTCAACTCTCTAGAAAGCAAATGATGCTTAAACTACCAGATCTATGATGTTTTGTTAAAATGTCCACAGCAGAATAATTAGGGTATAAGAAATACTTCTCAGAGGCAGTGCTACAGCAAGGCTTTTTGTTTCCTGGATTTGGGAGGTAGGGTCTTCCCAAGCAAGGACACAAAGAATTAAGATATTCAGAAAATTTCAGGAAGGAGCAAGGATCATATAATGCTCAGAACTAAGTGAGGGAGGCTGGAAAAGCAAACAGAAGCCAAATGTTGAGTTCTGCCTGCCATCAAAGACCAAAGATTTTGCCTGAAAGAGTAAGTCCAGTGGGTTCAAGCTATAGGAAGACTGTACTAGCATTCATTTCCCCATTTTCAACATACCTTTCCACAGTTACATGGAAGGCCTACTGGTAAAGAGGTGGAGGGAGGACAGTTAAACTCAGGTTTGCTAACTGTCTGAGAAGCTCAAAGAAACTTCGAAGTCAAGGATCACCACAAAGATGAAGGAGGAGGCTAAGTGGGAAGCAAGCCCTGTGACCTTGTACTACAGGTGCAATCTTTGTTATACTCAGGACTAATAGTCTAGAATATTTTACCTCAAAGACATGGCTGGATCTGGAGGTCAAAGATATCTGTCTCTGCTCTTCCAGTTACGGTAAAATAAAAAGTCAGGAAATGATCAAGAATATAACAGAGAAGTATGTCTGGACTCATGCCAAGAAGATGACAGAACTAAGAAAAATGATCTGGATGGATTATATCAATGCCAGCTAAGTTTAAGGCCAGCACCCTAGAGTTTTATGACTCTTAGACTCAAAGTCCATACCCAGTTTATCAGACGAACTTATATAATGAAACAAAAATAAAAAGGTGGTTTCATGTCATAGAAATTTGCTCTTGCCTGATATTTTTTAACCTGAAAGTGTTACATATTTCAGTAATCTGAAATATGAAAGTAATATAGACCAAACAAAACAGAAATTATTTCTTAGGAATAGCCTTTTAAAATCTTATTAGCAGTATTTTGGCAACTATGTGGTTGAGCTAAAAAGATACTACTATTACAAAGTAAAAAACATGTCCAGCAGAGGGCGCGGGAGTTCCCTTCAAATTGCTATGCATCAGAGAAAGTGCTGGATACAGAAGTGGAATGGCCCAGTATCTTTTGGTTATGCATCCATGCAGCCGATGGAAAATGAAAGGTGTATATGGGCAGAACATATTCAGACCTTTAAAATTAATTATATAATACTATTTACATAGTATTAGGCATTGTAAATAATCAGTAAGTTACATGCAAACATTACAACTTAATATAAGACTTGAGAATCGGTTGATTGTGGTACATACAGAAACTGACTCTCGAGGGGTAACTGTATTGTAATCCATTAAAACTATTTTGTGTTTAGACTCCAAGAGGCACATGACTAACTGCTGGGTGCTCTGAGAGGCAACACAAAGAAGATCTACTTAAGCCTGGAATTTGAAAAAATTCCCGAAAAAAGCTCTCTAAAAATACTGTATCATCATTTCTGGGAAGACAGCAGTTTCTGTTATTATCATTGTTTTAAAAACAAATAATTATTTCTTAAGAATTATTAAATAAATTAACTCTTAAAGAAGTCTAATAAACTCACTTATTCTTATACCCTCCTTTAACTGACACAGCTATAATGGCTGATTAGACTGTTTATTCTAGAATTTCCTATGGAAATCTGTAATACAAAAGTAGTTGTCAAGTGATGCTCATCGTTACAATGCAGCTGCTGGTCTCTTATTATTTAATTGATCGGTTTTTTTCTTCTAACAAGAACATGCTGATACTAACTTTGAGCAGACACATAAACTACCATAATGATCATGATAGGCACTAATTAAGAACAGATACATTTCTTATAAGAATGATACACAAAAAAATTAGTTGTAAAACATTCAAACAAGCCAGATATTTTTGCCTCAAGCTTTTAATCCTAGTTACTCAGGAGGATCGGAGAATGCAGAGGATCACTGTTTAAAGCTAGCCTGGGCAGAAAAGTCTGAAAGACTCCATCTCCAAAATAACCAACAAAAGGCAAAGCTGAAGCTTGGTTCAAGTGGTAGAGATATCAATTGAGCAAGCAGGCCACGCAAGTGCAAAGTCCTGAGTTCAAACCTCAGAACTCAAAAGAAACAACATTAAAATAAGACCTATCAAAAATGTACATTTTTATCCAAGAGCTAGTATATAAGTAACTATTTTGCAGATACACATACTTTATTCAAACCAGGACACTGGCAATAAATTATTTTTTTCTTAAAAATATGTAAATGTTAAATTAAGTATTCATACTTATTATTCAGTGCAAATTACAGAGATGAGATGTGAGAAGCAAGCAATGGTGAAGAATCATGATTAAATTAATTAATAATCCAAGCAATTACCACAAACTTATTTGCTTACTCAAAAAAGGAATATTCAATATTTTACACTAATAGGTAAACTGAAAAGCAGTGAATAAATCAAACAACTCTAAATAGAGTGTTTTTTGTCTAATCTACTCAGTCAAAACTAACCAGGAGCCAGGTACCAATGGCTCATGCCAATGGCTCATGCCAGTAATTCGAGATACTCAAGAGGCTAAGCTCTAAGGATCATAGTTAGAAGCCAGGACAGTCACAAAAGTCCATGAGACTCTTATCCCCAATTAACTACCAGAAAACTTGGCGCTGTTGCTCAAAGTGGTAGAGGGGTAGCCTTGAGTGACAAAGCTCAGGGACAGCACCCAGGCTCTGAGTTCAAGCCCCATGATTGATTAAAAAACAAAAACAAAAACAAAAAAAAAACCTGACCCAGGAGCTGGGCTCTGGACTCTGGTGGCTCACATCTGTATTTCTAGCTACTAAGGAGGCTAAGATTTGAGGATCACAATTTGAAGCCAGCTGAGGCATATACACGTCCACAAGGCTCCAGGTCTGAAAATAACCAGCAATAAAGCTAGCCTGGAGGCAAGACTCAAGTGACATATCACCAGCCAAGCAAGCAAGCCAGTCCTGAGTTCAAATCCTCATACCAGCAAAATAAGCAAACAAAAAAAACAGATTAATGACCAGAATATAGAGCAGCTTTACTCTTCATTCATTTTTCAGAAAATAACAGCCCTGCAACTTAGCAACAATGCTTAAGAACATATAAAAGGTCAGCACTATCGGAAACCATAAGGTGAAAGGTGCCGATGCTGTACTCTTCAAGACATTACCTCCAGAAGTGTAGTTCAAATCCTTCACATTCTTTGCACTTTAGACAGGGGGCTCCAAATCCTTGTTCATGGCCTAAGCCCATCTGTTAAAAGGAAAACAAAGTGGACCTATTATTATGTATGAGAAAAAAAATCTAAAAAATGCAATAAATTGCACTTTCAATTCCACTTAACACTCTTGTTGATACAACTTTCAAACAAATATTTTATGAGTATCACATTGTTTATCTAATGATGATACCCAGGTATGTAAATGGCAGTTCCAAGTACATAGATAACATGCTTTATATTCTCATTGCTTTTGATCATAGGAAAACATAAAAATACAGCTGTTTGGAAGACTATAAATATTGTAAGTCACAGAAAGTCATGAATTTATGTCATGGCCAACCTGTTTGTGATATAGTAAGATCTGAGTGCAAAGCTTAAAGAGCAACCTGGACACAGATGTCATATTTTTCAGCAAACAACTAATGTGTGAAAAATATTATTTTATATTATGTGAAAAATGCTATTTTATTTTATGTGAGAATGCTATTTTTACATTAAGAAAAATGTAACAATCATAACTACAAAAGTGTTTGGATGCCAAGAATGGATTATTTCTTGTTGGTTAAACCTTCAAAATCTCATATAATGTTTCTTTTATATTAATTCTCCATTTTAGAAATAACTTCACTCCAGAGATACTTCAGAACTTGGATCAGATCAAAATGTCAAAGAGGGTTAGAAAACAGATCCATGTGCAGATCCTTGATTTAAGGCCTGAGCTCTAACGCCCATGGATAGAGTGCTTACCAGGGTTGGAAGATCATCTATATTATCTTTATGATAGTAAATCATTGTTTTTTCTTTAATATATGTACCAAGGATTCTTGGTAACTTGCTGATAAGTGGCCTGATAAGCTGAAGAGGTGCAGTGGATAGAGAGGAAGGGCACAGCAATGTAATCTCCTCTGTCAGAGTACTTAAGAGTAAGAAGGATCAATTGGCTGTGCAAAAGCACCCGAGCAAACCACCAGTGACAAGATTACTCTGTATTTCAAATGTCAAATTGTAACTTTTTCCCCAATGCCCCCTTTTCTAACTTTATCAAGCTTAATCTGTATGCAACCAAAACGACATTATAATAACATTCCTTAGAAAAGCAGCCTTGAAAAAGCCCCAAAGTGTCAATGCAGCCCTTCGTTTCTCTTCCGGATGAAAAGGACCATTGCCAGAATACTAGCTAAAGTGTAAATATCACCAAAAGTATGGTGATGAAGTAAATATGATCGCCTTCCCTATTTCTAAATGCAACTTGAAAGCTCAGCTAGTATAACAAGAACCTGGATTTGTCAACAGTGTTTACATTAAAGAACTCATGGGGCAATTTGCAAAAGGACGCCGTGTTTCTTTTCTACCTACTTTTAATTTTCTTACAATAGATAATCAACTTATGTATTAGAGTTATTAGAACTGGTTGTGTTTCTGAATATCTTCTCTTCTAAAGCACTGCACACAAGACTACGAATTTCAGGTGAAAAATCAGAAAACACAAATTCAGAAAAGAGAGTTGATTTCTTCTCGGCTAAAACTCTGTCTGGCTCTAAATGGAGTTTCCTTTCTGACTGCCGGACAGAGGAAGGAGTGCCAAGGTGATAAGGAGTAGCCTTTTTGTGGCAGACAGGTGTTTTGTTCTACTTACTACTTCTTTCTTAATGAAGGAAATACACCATCTTGAAGCATGCCACATCATATTTGGGGCTGAATTTTATTCAGCCATCAAGAGAAATGGAATTATGTCATTTGCAGGGAAATAGATGGATCTTGAATTAAAAAAAAAAAATCATACAGAGTGAAGTAAGCCAGGCCCAGATAGACAAAGAGCCAACGTTTTCCTCTTATAGACCCAAAATACTGCCTCTCTTGTAAGTACACACACACACACATACATATACACACATATACAATCAAGCTGACTAAAGTACAGTAGATGCAGGAGTGATACTCTATGGTGTAAAACCTATGATCAATGAACAGTTTAACAAAATGATATTCAGGAATGATGGAAAATAACTTAAACTGAAAGCACTCACCTTTACAACTGTCCTTGTGGCTGACCCCGCTGAACCATCTCCCCTCCCCTTCCCCCTGAACAAACATAACTGGTGGAAGAGGGCCTGAGAGAAAGGCCAGGTCTGAGGCTAACACTCTTGGAGGACATAGGAGCTGTTGAGACCTTAAAACTCCTCAGGCAAAATAACCTGTTCTTCCACCTGCCTCCATCTCAACTGGCTTCCACTTGCCCGGCCTGACTTCACTTTTTCTGCCTAATACTTTAAGAGACCCTAGTTGTGGGGGGAGGGGTGCTCCATCTCCCCTTCAGCTGGGCTGAAGGAAACTTGGTTGCTCTTCCCAGGGTTTCCTAACAAAGAAAACCTGTTGGACTGTAGAGTACCTTTGTGCCCTTTTTCTTTTTTGACAAGGAAACTGAAATGTGTTTCGAATGGGAGGCTGAGGGATGAATGCACAAGGAAGTAAGGGACAAATAGTCATAATAATGTACATTTATGGAAACAGAAATGGAAAATTTGATGGGGTAGTTGGGGGCAGAACGATGGAAGAGGTGACTGATGAAAGTGCGCTTTACACATAAATGTGTGTTAAGTCCTAAGACCCTTGTCCAACCATTTGAAGATGAATACTTTTTTTGTAAAAAAAAAAAAAAAAAATGAAAGTGAATTCAGCTTCCAAGTAGGCTCTTTCCAGCACCAATTGTGACTGTGGACAAACTGTAGCTCCCACATTTCCCCACATGCTCAGACAGGGGGAGCGTGCTCGGGAAATGTCACAGGCTACAAGTAAATGCAAGAGGGTGGAAGGAGGTCACAGCACTATAACTTGCCATAACCCCAGGGAAGTGGGCCTAATTAAAAACAAAGACAAAGACACCCATTTTCAAGATCATTGTCAGCGAATAAAATTCTTTTTCTAGGGGAATTTCAATATGAGAAATTATTTAAGACCTAGCTGAAGGTCTCTCTTAGACCATATTACTGTGTGAAAACTTCTGAAGTCTGCATCTTTTTTCAACTTCCATTAGGATGAAAAAAACAAATAATCAAATGCCACCTAAACAAGAAGGACATTCATTCATACTCTACAAACTTCAGATAAAGGGGAAAAATTTAAATTCTATTAATGTGGTTAAGTGAGTGTAGGATTCAAAACTAGCACCTTCCAAAACGGATTCTCATCCCTTTTGGGTTGTTATTAAATGGCCCCAGGTTTCCCTAGCTCTTTTTAGTTCCAGGATACAAAAGACCCTATGTTCTTAGGAGTCCATCATCCTCCTTACATTATGCTCAGGATTCCTTAAGCCAGGATCCAGAATTTCTTAATATCACCTCCTTTCTCTCTATCCTTGGCACAGACAACACCTTCTGGCTCAGATTCGTCTCCTTCTCTCAAGAGCCATGGCTATTATTATTGGATTTACAAAGTTATAGGTTAGTTCCTGTTTAGTGTCTGTGTTTGAGAATACTTTGTGAGAATTAAGAATAAGGAATGTGTTATTTAATAATACCCAGGATGCATTCGGGGTGTGGAAAACTGAGGAAAAGAGGTGCCAAGAAGACATCATCTTGTAAGCAAAGGCAAACTGGCTGCTTTAGAAAGTGAAATCCAGATCCTTTGATAATAAATGTTTGAGATACGTGTTTGTATGTTAAAAAAATAAAAATGGTTGGCTAAAGAAGACTCAAGAAAACTACCAGTGTCATAGTCAAGTTCAATAACTTTTAGATGTCATTTCTTCCCCCATCTAGTTAATAAAGGAATTGAATTAAATTGCCTTCAAGAAAAATTTTAATTCTACCATTATGACTGAATTATACTTTTAATTCTACCATTATGACTGAATTATACATCAGGTAACCTATATTAGTTGCTATTTGACTTGGTCTACATAGAGAATTATTTGAGAAAGCTAGTATATAAGTGACTCTTGTATGTCAGAATCATTTGGAACTCGGTTTGGAGAAAGTCTGTCAAGTACAAATAGGAAACAAAAGACTTCAGCTGTGAGTGATACAACTCACTTCGCTGGTATGTAATTATTTCCCCAGTAATGTGAATGGTATTCCCTACACGTCCATACTTAGTACTTAAAAACACATGGTTTTCATAAGCACACAGTCCCAAAGCTGTCTACTTCATATAATTTTAGTAACGCATTCTGGCCAGAGTCAATACAAAGATATGACAGATTAATTTTTCTTCTTCAGTGCCCAAGAAAACAGGTCCTCTGGATTAACTATATTCGGAGAAACACAGTCAGGCTTAAGAATACTTATCAGGATCCTCTGAAAAAAATTAAAATGTCCCATAATATTTGTCCTAAAATACAGGAATGAATCTTTTTTTTAAAAAAAAATCTTTAAGTAGATATGCAAGGAAGTTTCTATTAACAAAACAGCTTATGAATACATAATACATGAATGCATCCTGATCAGTGTCACCTTTCACCCAGCCCACCCAATCCACCCCTTCCTTCACTCTTCTAAATTTTGTAGGATATCCATTGAATCCTTGACTGCATTTCCCCCCTCTTCTCTAGTTCTTTACCCTTAAACCCCAAATCCCATCCCTTTGAAGTACCTGCTTCTTGGTGTTTATTTTGTTGAACTTTGGGGCTTTAAAAAACATATCTATTATGTGCTCCAGAACTTACACTTCCATAATTTGCACCTCCCCAAACTGACCGAGCTCCTTTCCCCTGCTTATTTTTCAGAAAAGATATGGGAACAGAATAAGTTTCTCCATATTCATCTTTTCAAGCAACCAGATAGGTTGGCAACATTTCAAGTGACCTTCCTGACCCAGGAGAGGGTATTGCATGTCAGATACTTTAAAGAAAAAGGGGGGAGGGTATGAAACATCTGGTATTTCAAACATGGTTTGGGTTGATTCGGATCTGGAAGATATTATGCAGTATTCAGGGTGAGATCATCTGATTCATACTGTTTTCATCATCAAATTTCCCTCTGGAGCAAAGAATCATATACAGTTACTAAGCAAGTAAGTGTACTAAGACTTCATT